ATTTAAATTGTGTACATTTTCATTTTTAATTTAATAAATAAGTATTATTCTTTGATCTTATTCTACTGATTAGAAATACATACTTGTCGACGAGTCGGGAAAATAAAAAGTGTCGACGAGTCGGGACGATACCTTTTTAGCACAAATAGTAACAGAAGAAAAAGTTCAAGTCAAATTTTGAGTTTGGAAAGTTTTCAATTTTTTAGACTTTCATCTAATTGGATTAGTTGTCTTGATTGAAGTTCTAAAATTATAGTTTAGGTATGATTTTGTAGAAAATTTCAAGGCGCATCTTATGAATTAGGTCGCTGGCTCAAAAACTGAAAGAGATAACTGCAAATTAAAACCGCGTCATTATTTTCCGGGACACCTGTTACTTATAACTCTGTCAAAACTCATCGATAGTCATGAAAATCTTTTCACATAGGTAACTCTGCATCCTATACAGACTGGCAAGGTCAAAATAGAATTATGTCCAAAAAAATTTAGAGACTAGAGATCTGATTTTCCAAACACTTATGAGCAGTCCTTCTATGATATTTGCCATCAAGACCATTGATTACATATGTCTACAAGTCACGCAAAAATTTTGACTATATACCTAATTTTGTATGCTAATAACATGCTGCAGCTTAAAAACAAAATTTGATGTAATCATTGAACAAGCCTGTTCTGTAGTCAATGGTATTTCTTGTGCACTAACTAATAAACGTTCATGTCTATAGTTTGCTATTTCTCAGAATGAAAATCTTTCGTTAGGAACCATACAACATGATGCCCTGGCTGTTTTGAAGTAAAAAATAACTGAGATTTTGAAGGGATAGAGATTCTCCGCATTTGATCCAGCCTTTTTACTGGGATTGTAAAAGAAATCTGTCCAAAACGTCGATATTATCCTGGTATGAATTTTCCAGAATAGCAACAGAAATCTTAAAAGATATTTTGTCTGCCTATAAGCGATTTAGCAAGTTAATTGAAATTTTAATTACTCCAAATTAAACGCGGATATACTCACAGAAGTTCTTTTTATTTGTGTCTGGTTAGCTCCGAGACAGAGCGGAATCTATCTCGATTCATCTTATCTTTATTTAGCCTTGTATTTTGAAATATAAAAAAAATTACTGTTTTATCTCTAACTAGAAAAGTATTTTTATGCAATTTTCATGTTCTTAATAATATTACTATTTTCGGTTTTTAATGCGGACGTTTCTTTAAGTGCAAACTTGACTTCTGTAGCGAAGAGTATAAATGTAGAAAAGAAAAGGTGTTGACAAAAATATAAAATAAAAGATTAACTTGTGATCCACAACAAATCATGTACGCGTATTCATCACCAACAGAGTTAGCCAAATCTAATATCCTGCTGCAAAAGATATAACTTTGAATATTTGCTAAGAAAGAATTATTGATAATCACTGACCTCTAGCATATAATGAGGGAAAATAATAGTATTTTTAGTTAAGTTCTGCCTAAAAAGACGGAAAAACATAATTCTGATTATCAAATATAAAACTTAACTATCGTCGAATAGTATACATTTTATAATTAATAAAGTAGTAGGTGTCTATATATTATCAGAGACAATAATCTTCTCTCATTTTCAGTCTTTAGAGGCTTTTTCCACGGTTACACTATGGATGATGAAAGTGGTAGGTATCTGACGTTAATTACACGCTTGACTGCGTATATAGAACCATGGCTCTAATCACATTTTTCTCTTCGTTTTTTAAGAATATCCAAATCAGAAACTGCGATTATATCCTTGTCCAAACTGTCAGAGGAAATTTAATTCCCAGTCTCTGGTATTTGAATTAGAAGGATAAAACTTCTATAAAATAAAAACGCAATTGTACCATTATTTTCTTTCATTTAGCAAAAACATCAAGCAATATGTCGCAAAATTCAAAAAAAACGAAAAATATTTGATGCTGGAAAACAGCGAGCTACCGATTCTGATATTCCTTATGCAGCAACCAGAAAGACACTGCAAGTAATACCAATACCAACTGGATGAATGACGGCTCCTGAAAATTTTGTTGAAATACTGTATTTTTAGATATACAAAGGAGAAATCAGACCACAAGATGAAAAGGTATGTATTGACCTAACATATTTGTATTTTGCTCAAAAAGAAGTTTTTTTTCACCTGTTCAGTCAAAATATAAAAAACCAAACTGGCGTGAACGTCATCGTTCGTTAATTAAATCTATTCGTGAAGCGCGTTCAGTAACGCAAGCACTTAAAAGTGGTGGTCCACTACCAGAATTTATACCGAGTGAAGTTCCATCAGGTTTGTTTATGTTCAATATGTATGTTTCGTAGCACTGTTGCTCTCACTTTATCTTGCTTTAAATAAAATATCTGTTTGCTTATTCTTAAAGATTATGTTGAATGTCCTTATTGTAATCGAAATTTTAATCCGCATGCTGCTCAAAGACATACACCATTGTAAATAATTACATGCTTTTATTATATTCCATTGCACAGTTACTTCTATAATATATTTCATTTTCAGTTGTAAAGCACAGTATGAGAAGAAACATCGACAATTACCACCGCCATCAACTATTCGAAATCAACAACAACATCAGCTCGACAGAGTAAAGTATTGATTTATTACTCTAAATATTTTATATTCAATTTTCTTATTTAGCGTAAACCGCCCCTGCCTGCTAATCAAAGACAACAATCATACAGTTCAGGTATGGCTACTATCAACTGTTTTTTAGTTACCACAAATATATAGAGAGATCTTCATATAATTCTAACTTTTATTAGACACTCTGTTAAGCACTACATATAGCTTTTATCTTTTGCTAGGATTATATTCTCAAGTGCCTCCGACAAATGACATTTATGGAAACGGCTATAAACATAGCAATTCCGCTCCAACCTTACTTAGACAAAATCAGTATACAACATCGTATAATGAGTAAGAATACAGTGTTAAAAGCGGACACAAGACATAGAATAATATCTTTAATTACTTTTAGTCCTGTGAATTATCCAATAGCTGAAAAGAAACAAGAGGGATGGGGATTCAAACGTTTGTTTAGTTTCATGCATAAAAGTGACAAACAACGACTACCACCGGTGAACAATCATACAGAATATGAAAATGAAGTAAAAATGTTTGTTGTCTTCCTTTTGAAATGTCTCTTACATTAGTTGCTTGTTTAGGAATATGGCTATGGCGACGATCCATATTATTCTAATAATTACAGCAGAAATGTAAAACCACAGCAGCCAGTTACGATGAGAACAGGTCGTACTCAAGAAAATACTAGTTTGAACGTTCGAGCTCGACAAAGAAGCACGGAGAATCCACGAGAAGTAATGAATCGTCGACTGAAAAGTCCAGTGGCACCAGCGCCACCAATAAGATACAGAAATAGCGGTAATAATAGTTATGCACAAACAACACGTCAACGACCAACGGCTGTCATTCGAGGAGATCCTTACAATAGTGGTAGCACTTCCTATCGACAACAACGACAACAACCACAACAATCGCCTTATTCATCTGTTTCTAGAATATCGAAGCAGTGCTATGAATGTGGAGCCATGAATGCTGAATATGCGAAATTTTGTAATGAGTGTGGAACAAGAAGAATATAAATGTTTTTTAATTTTTTAATAAACTGTATCACAAAAATGATGCCAATGTCACCACCTTTTTCTTATCAATGAGAGACAAATTTATATAAGAATAAGCTCTATTTTCAACTGATTAATTAATTATATTCTGAGATGAAAGCTATAAAGAGTATATAATTATTATCCTCCCTTCTAAACATAGTATACTCTCGTTATTGTCACACAACAGCATTAATCATGATTAATGCTAATTGCGAGTAACTTTATCCACAATTAATTTTAATCATGACTGTGATCGTGGCATGTATGTAATATATTAGTCATTCGTGAACCTATTATTATTATAGCATGTTACATTCCATTCGAGTCTATATCATTCATACGAATTTTCTTTTAAAAATGATCAATGTAGTTCGTTAACAATTTATAATTCCATCGTACTTCTGATAATATACTGATCATATTCCTTCCTTTTTTTTCCTCATATGTTATATCAATGTTATTAGTCCACTGTTTCGCTATTGTAGTGGGAATAATATTAATAATAATAATAAGATCACAATGAAACTTTCTGAACGATTCCATTAAACAAATTGAAGACAATAAGCAGATAATTTACGAGTTTATTTGCTGTGAGTGTGAAGGGTCTATATCGAATAAATACTAAAGATGTAGAAGAAAGTAGATTGTTTCGATATGAATCAATCCTGCAAGGGGAGTTGTGTCATTCACTTGTTCAGTTGACAGAGGGAAAAGGAAATCTCTACTTGAATGTGCAGTTCCTCTGAAAATCCATAATTCTTTTCATATTTGTAACGTTTTTTCCATAAACAAGCAGACTTGAAAAAAAACTGAGTAGAATCTCAAATTTTCAAGTAATTTGGTTAGATTCTGGAACACTTGTGAATTTTATGTACTACCACTGTGCTCGCAAAACGTGAAATCAGCAGCTTTCTCTAAAATATGGATTCACTGGGTTTTTTTGTTTTTCTCGGATGACAAACATTGCCACAAAATGCAAGGCGACCGACACAACATACGTTTCGTTTATTTCTGAGTTTTACAGATGTTTCTGAAAATCGTCCATATTAATTGCAAAATCCATGATAGATGAAGAAACTGGTTTACGCGTTTGTGTCGAAAAAGACTTCAGAGCATCAAACTCAGACAAGTATATGGATCAGTATGGAGGGAATAATATTGCAGCAATAATATTATTCCTTACAGTTTGATTATCCATTTATATTTCGTAAATTATTATTTTATTTTAACACTCTAGATAGAGCTTTCGAGTCTACCGACCGACCCATCATGAGCAACTTGATTTTTTTAAGATCTTTCTGGTATAGTGGAGATCTTGAGCCTTATTTTTATATAAAAGTTTTTCCCCGTCAATCTAAGAGTATGCTCTAAAACCGATTTTGCACTCGTATCTCGATTTTACAGTGGTTTTCAGTCGGGTATACCGAAAAATGTTAAAAAGAAAAATATTAAACGACTGATATTTAAAATCAATTAAATATTTTTCTTGTTGTAAGACAGAAAAATATTTAATTATTTTTAAAATAAAAACAAAATATTAAAGTTGTTATTAAACATATAGAAAAATATTAAATTGATTTATTCAGACAGAAAAATATTTAAATAAGATGCAAAAAATGTATCGTTCCGCATCTTCGTACCTTCTTCATACGTTCAAATTACAACATTAATACCTTTATTCAGAATGAGATGGACCGGATAGAAAAATATTTAAACAATGAAAAATATGGAACGGACTAATATTTAAATAAGGTGGAAAAATATTTAACTGATTTTTAATATTAGTCGTTTAATATTTTTCTTTTTAACATTTATTATAGACCCTTTCAGGCATAGTGAAATGATTATATCCGATCATAATGTCTAGCAGAGCACTACGTATACTTTCTAGATAAACTCAATTTGATCAAAACATTTCTGCTTTTACACAAAAAGCTAGTTTTAAAGTACAAATGCTATTTACTTTTCCCTCATTTTGCAGGCATATGTTGCCACATGAAATACACATATACTTTTGGTTATGAAGAGCACGTATGCTACAGTCTTTAGGTCCAAAATATTTGTTTAGTTTATCGTTTTTAGACAGTTAGAAAGTTTATAAAATGTATTTTAGCAAGCATTGTGTAGTTTACCACGTTTCGAAGCTTTTAAAGAAACTTCTATAATCATTAGAAAAACTAGACACTAACAAAATTAGGAGGGCGCTCTCTAGATATGTTTCCCAGACCTACAATAAAAAGTTCAACCAAAATTCGAACACTAATTGAGCAACTTATAGATAAATCGAACATTTTCTTTTCTTTCTTACAGAGCGTGATCATCACTAAAACCGAACGAGAATTTCATCTAGATGAAGCAATGAAAAGTGCTAAAAGTGTATGAACTAGGAGACTGAAATTTTTATTTTATTAGTTTTGAAATTTGCTCTAACTGGTGAAAAAGTGAAACGGTTTTCTTTATTACTGTTGGATGAGTAAAATGTAGGAGGTATAAGCGACTTGGAATTTCTATAAAAGAGTTTTTATTCTGTTGATAACATCAACTAATTGTCAGATGATTCGAATGAGTCATCATTTATATCATCTTTTGTAAATCATAGTTTGTTTGAGACAGAAGACATCAGTCTCATTTTGTAGAGAAATGTTTGCTCTACAAAACTGAAACTTTAGAAAAGTTTTAATGTTATATGCATAGAAACTATAATAAATCAAAAACGCACTAAAATCGCAAAAGAATAATAGATGATCGATTATTTTTTGCATATTTTTGAATGCCTATATTTCTATTACAAATAACATTAAAACTTTTCTAAAGTTTCAGTTTTGTAGAGCAAACATTTTTCTACCAAATGAGACACTCGGTAGCTGTAAGAGATACTTCATAATCGATTTGAAACGATTTTCCAGAATGCCATAACATCGATTATTAGTCGATGCATACCTATTGTGTAGTATTATAAATTTAAATGCCACTATACCATCTGTTATTTTGCGTAACAAATAATAATTGATGAATAGTTTAAAACTAGAGCTGAAATTATTGTGAAAGAAGATTACTATTTATATGAAGTACTCTCAAAAAAAAAAGGTGTCGTACGAAACTTAAACAGGGTTTCGAGAATTGAAACCATTTCTAAACCTTTTTTAGGTTTTGTACGAATAAGGTTTCGTACGATATCTGCTTTCAAAAAAGGATCTGTAGAGGTTTTGTACGGATTCTATGTATGGATTTCATATAGTTCCTTTTTGTATATTTGTCTTGAGTTTATTTATTTCTATTGCCTAGCAATAAAAACAACCGAAAAAATACAAGTAGCCAAAGAAAAGCCACTCATATACAAAACTTGTTGTTTGAGAAAAAAATCAAATCCTAATAAAAATACGCGTGAATATGGATTGTCAAAATAGAGTAAAAGAAAATATTATCAAAAAAATCATCTACGGATAATAAAACTTACAGAATATAGATAGTCTATTATAGCGAATCGATCAGAAATACTTCCCGCCCACTTAGGTTCTTCAGAGGGTGTCCAGAAAACGTTTTAGTTTTATATTACATTGGGCGCTTTTTCCATGGAATCAGAAAAGTTTCCAACATTTCTTACCTATCCTGGCTGCGAACGCTGACAGAAGGAAGGCGAGAGCATTTTCTTGAATTCAGAATATTTTAGGCTTCTGAGTATCTTTGGAAGGTCTCGAAAAAACTGTGCAAATCTTCATTAGATTACGAACCTTACACTTCAAATCAGAGAAACATTCACAACGTATTTCAGATAGTCCCGTAGTGAACGCTGACCAAAGGGAGGCGTGAGCATTGTCTTTGCTCCAAAAACCATGGAAGATGATTTGCCTTAGAGATGTGCAGGACATCCTTACCCTAGTCTACCCCACAGAGTATGGTAGAGCCAGGGCTCGGGTGTCACAGGGTATGGAAGGGGGAAGGTACCAAAAATGTTTACAGGGTAGGGCCAGGGCTCCAGAAATATCTACCCTGCACATCTCTAGTTCGCATGCGATCTGCAGATATAAGCTCCTAAAGTCAAGAGACGGAGCGAGTACTAAACGGGCGTTATCTTGTCGTGAACATTGTGCTAATAAATAGAAAACAAGGCGTCCTCTCATACGAGAGTAGCACAAAGAGCGGTATAGTACGAAACGTTTTCTACTACTATACTTCCAAGAGGTGTATTATAAAACCTGTTCGAATACGAAACTTTGAAGAGTATGATCAAAATCTTGAAGGGTATCATACGAAATCTCTTCGATTGCTAACCCTTAATGAGGTTTCGGAGATCCGTCCCATACCTGATTGATACGGGAGTTCCACAGAACCTTACAAATTTCATATTATACCTCTCTTTTTTTTTCCAGAGTACTTTCAAATTGATATAATTCTGTCGTAGCTCATTTGACCGATATATGAGCATAACAACAATATTACAATGATCATTCAAATGCTAATAATTGCCCATCAGAACATACAAGGTTATCAAACGGCTAGGAAACTACTAAAATCGTTTACCACTGTATTATAGCCAATTAGCTCTTGTTATGATAAAATATGAAAGTGTAATAAATGATTTTGTAAGAAAATATCAAATATAAGTTATCTTTGATTTACAGATTAACTTGATTAAATCTAATCACAGTCCACCAGCGCTCATACTGTACAAAAAACATTCTCAGATGAACTGCATGATACTATCGTTCAACGAATGCACAATGTCATTTATTGTTTTCTTATTAATACGTTGACCGAAACGCCTCTTAGAAATACTTTAACCATATGGAATATCTCATATTGAGTCTGAGTTGTGCTGAAATTTTTTTCTTAAACAGTTATGACCAGTTCCAGTGATTCACTGTAATCCTTTCATAGCTATGATCGAGTACAATGTTTGTCTAAAATAGTTTTAACGCATCTTTCATTTCGTCTCTTCTTCGAAATAGAAAAACAGTGGTCCTACATGAGGTACTATAGTACAAATGTTACATACAAAAAATTGCAGATGTTAAAGCAGTTTCTGATTTAATAAATAAGAACTTTTAAACAATTTTAGCTTTAATCTTTAACTACAGACTCAAAGACATCATCCTTTGACATGCTAAAAATAAATTTAAAAATGTCATCTCTTTGTGTAAAGTAAGCTCAAAAATAATCAAAGCCACAGTTTACGAATCAGTCTTCATTTCATGAAAATACCCGTTGTTTTTTCAACTGAAAGTTTAAAAACCTAGCAAAAGTGAATCTTCAGCGGAATAGCTCGAAAATTTAAGGACAAAACACGAATTCTCTGTGTTTAGACAACTAAAAAAACGCTAAAATAATAACACTTGCTGGCAAGACTGGTTAATTAACGCATATTCCAATGGTTCCAGAAAACCTGAGCTGTCACTCAAATCATAGTATACGAGGAATCAGGTTTGTGAGATTGTGTAGAGGACATTGGACATAAATACATATTGAAAATATATAAATTACTGTGAACCGATATTGACAGGTAATCCGATTTTCTAAACATACTTTAGGTACATAACCTCAAAGTGGTTCTTTGTACTCAATTTTACCATGAGTTTGCAAGTGTAGATTTGGGCTAGAAAACGAGAAAAGTGGATGTCTCTCTCTTTTTCATCAAAAACTATTTAAAAAAAATGATATCCAAGAACATTCTATTTTGAATATTAACAAGATGAAACTCTGATTATTTTTTTATATTTTGTACAATCAACAGAGAAATTGTTGAAACTAGTAAACAGAAAACACAGAAAATCAAATATTCATACACCAATATTTCTTGGACTAGATAAATCATCGGATGACCAGGTTAATTTAGGTAAACTAGATGGTGGCTAAATGAATTAAAGTAAACTATAAAAGTTAAATACAAAAAGATAAATGAATTAACATACCAATGAACAGGCTCTTGCTGCTTGTTGAAGAACAAATATTGAATATTGTGTTAATGGCGGAAATATTGAACTCAGATTAGTTAAAAAGCGATATGTGCGACAGAAGAAACGTATACGAGATTCAAATGGCAACACTGAAATAAATAAATATTGATCTAATATAGTGATAATTGAAGTTCTATGTAAATATTTAATGATAAGCACTCGTATTTTTAGACTATAAAATGTATACTAACTGAGCATTTTCTGCTCAATAAAATACCTCGTAGTAAAGTCGCATAAACTTGTAATGATAATTTAGTCACTAATAATGCACGTTTAATTGGATAAAATTGTGCCAATTCAGTAATTAGTTCAAATGCAAATATCTAAAAAGATAAAACTGAATTATAAAGAACAAACATAGCATTAATTCATACCTGTTTGTTTAAATCGTTACTGGATAACATTTGTGGTATAAAATCTAAACATATATGCGCTGATGGTACACTATAAATCATGGGTTTTATTAATTGTGATTCATAACCCTTGAGCGAAATAAGAAATTGAATAGATATATACATTGACAAGAGCAAAGATTTGTTACCTGTAGATGAACAAGTTTAGCTAAAACGGGATTCGATATGAACATTTGATGAATAAATGAACATATAACGCCTTGTAGTTCACGACAAGCGGCAGAAGAGGCTATCTAAACAATAACAACAAAAATTAATATCCTTCAACGGAATTACACACAAGTTTACATTTGACAAGCAAGAAAATCTCATTTACTTGAGATATATCACCCAATAGAGCAGATTATTTAACAATACCTTGTCATATTCATCTAGAGCATCTAACAATATTTGTATAACTAATCCTTCTTGTGCATGTATTAGCGATTCTTTTAATTGTTCCGGTTTAAGATCGTTAATTCGAATCAAATCTAAAAAAATAGACGGACAGATAAAAGCACACCAAATAAATCTTTTAACTTTTGTTAATGGCAGGACTTATACAATAAAAGTTTCTGTTTTATCATAAATTGCAGCTAAACTCATTTCTTTTTATTTTATTTTTTATTAATTTTTTAAAATTAAATTAAATTAAGAAATGATTTTAGCTGCAATTTATGATAAAACAAATAAATCTTGCTTTCATTGTTACCTGCTGATTGCTGTTGCTGCTTAAGATTGATAAATCGATCAAATTGATATCGACTAGCAATTAATAATTCGCGCATAATAAATAATATTATTTGAATAATTGGAGAATAACTAAAAAGGAGTATACAACATTAATCTGATATTTAAATGATAAAAGATAAAATTTGCCCGAACATGGATCAACACCTCATTTTAATGAGAAATGTTTTTTATATAAACTAACATCACTGAAAAAGTTTCATCTGCAGAAATTATTGTAAAATAAAACAGTTTGTGAAACCTACTTTGTTAAAACTTTTTCATAAATCCTTGCGTTAACCGCGGATGTGGTCAAAAATCAGTATGAATTTTGACCAATGGAAGGATATGCTTATCTTAATATTAACTTTTTACAAAAAATTTGTGTTTGTAACAGGAGAGTGAGAAGACTCAAGCAATGATGTGTGTATTATAAAGTTGAAGAAATATTAAGGTTGTCATACTTGTACAATGAATGTGGAAAACGTAAAAGACAATTTGGATCCGAACATAAACTATCGTATGTCAAAGATGAATTCTTCAACAAAACACGAGCGGTTTTTAATGTTAATCTAGATAAAAGAAAAAGAAATACAAGTTCATGCTTCAATGAAATAAGTAAAACATACTGTTGTCCGCTAACAGCATAAGCTCTAAACCATAATCGACGCCATTGTTCAGCTTGTTTTCGGCTAATACCATTTTCAAGTGTATTTGCCAATACATCCAGTAATAATTGGTCATCTTGTGGATGAAAACGATCTAAAAAATCAAATTAACAATCAAAGATATTTGAAAGTTTTCAGTTTTCAAAGTGAAGTACCTGCTTCAAGATAAAGTACGTGATCAGCCAAGAATACATACGGAAATTGTTCCATCATCAATCTAAAGACATAATTGAAGGTGAAATGTTGAAAAAAATTGTTCTAGTAGGTACAAGTTTGACTCTATAAGCTAGAAAAAGTTTGTCTAACATCGTATGTAGCAGCATTATTTCATGTTTAAACATTCATCACATTCATCACTTCTTATCATATCTACCTTCCTAATTGTGGTGCAATCGAACTATAATTTTCATCTGTCAATTTTATGGCTAAATATGGCATAGGAATAAGATCAAATAATTTTCTTGGATAACGCTGAATATTTGTCGATGTTGGTATTATTTTTAAAACTTGTTCATCGTATGATAATAAATAGAGCAATAACAACGTTTTTGTTGTTATTAATGTTATTTTTGGATTATCATTAAAGAAATCTTCAATATCTTTCGAATAGATAGGATCTAAATGCCATGGATAATCTTGTCTTAGACACGCACGAACATATTCATTTATAAGAGTTAACATGATTGGATGAACAGGTTCGACACATAACAAAATTTGATCATAAATCCATTTATTCATATTGACATGATGTAAATTACAAGAGCCAGAGGAGAGTAGATGACAAATAAAATGAGCAGGTAAAAATGCATGAGAAGACTGTTTTGATGTACTCAAATTTTTTGTTACAGGTATTAATGGAAAACGTTGAATTAGAATATCTGTTGTAAATACTGTTTGAGTTAATAAATTACGTAAATGAGTAAATGTTCCCGGACGAATAACACAATTAAAGCCAAGAGTATTTGATACTATGGCATTCAGAGGCTAGAAAATATATGAAATTAATAATCATTTTAAATGACATTTAATAATCTACCTACCTCAAGATAATTTGCCGAACAAAATATTCCAATCATTAATAATTTTTCTGATACATCTTTTTCTAATGAATGTTTTAACCATTGTATAACTGTTTGTTCAACACTTTCAATTAATGTTGGTACTATCATTAGAAATGATAGTGCCAACGTTATGTTTGACATTGATGTGAGTATCATTAATAATTGAGATAATTCTGACTGTGTAAATCTTAATAAAAAAACAGAAATAATTAGTCTATTATGATTATTTTACTTCATTTCTTCATTCTAGATTAGTGAGAGAGGCGAGTATATCTCTTCTTACTTGACATCACAATGAATATGTAAAATGCCGCATATTTTTAATATTGTTGGTGCTAAATTTGTTTGTTTTTTATAGAATGTAAACAATTTAGTTAATAATGTTCTGATAAGTTCTTGATGATTATGTTGTTTCATATATTTATTAAACCAATGACGATGTTTAATATCTGTTAGAACACTAGTTAAAATATTCACTGTTGATTCATCAAATAATTCTAATAAAATAAGTAATAGAGTTTTTCGTTGAAAACATAATCTTAATATTCTATTTTTATAATTTGGATATAATTTAACATAGGTTAATACTAATTGATATCGAGCATGATCTATTTCAGTGGCTGCTGTTCCACATAGAGATGATGATGTTCGAACCACTGTTTCAATTAATGTCAAACTAATTGAAGGAATATTCAATAGAAGACGGAAAAGATAATAGTAGCCATATTTACTGTGCAATAATTGTGGAACAAATGTCTCAAATTTGAATAATGATGATAATTCAAGTAATAATATACACATTAAATCACCTTAATTAGTAAAACAAAATGATTAATCAATGTGGCAAACAAATCCGGAAATGAAATCATTTTTTTACTTTTAAAAATTGGGCGATCCAAGAAGTATAATTAATTTTTTCTTACATTAAAATATAAAACTGAATGATTTCTAGTATCGACTCTTGTTAAGAAAAAAATTGACCATTTTACATAAAAGTGATGTGGAAAGAACATACAGTAGTCTATAAACATACAATTGTCCTTCTCAAAGAGACTGAACGACTAATTTTACGAACGACAGTCATTTTTAACATTGTGATGTGAGTCATTCAAAAACAAACAAGGAATTAAAATTCGTTTTAAAACATTCTTTTAACTTGAAAAACATAATTTATAAACTATTTACACAAAATTTTAAGATTAAGTTTCAGAAGAGTCAGAGTTTCGATCAAATATGGATTGATAATAATGAAACATCTGTAGTACACCTCGCGCGAGGAGCTAACGATCATCTTCTCAATCATGATATACACATCAATCTTATTCAAAAATAGAATCATGGATCTTCGTATTCATTCAGTACAAACTTTGAAGAAAATCCTCAAGGTGTATTAGAATTATCAAAAACATAACTATTTTTGGAATACTAACCCCTTCCCCCCCCCCTCACATTAGAAGCCCAGTCTGGCAAGAAATTTTTTGAAAATTTCCTCTGCCTCCATCGGGTACTTTTTGAGAAAATTTTCCTTTCTTACGGGACATAATAGAAGCCCACTGGGCTTCTAATGTGGACGGGGGTTTAATCCAAAATATTAAAAGTGACCGTCGATCGTAAAGTAACTATAATTTTTTAATCACATAGATAGAAAACAATTGAATGATGTGGCTGAGTTCGACAGCTTCTATCGAAATCTATAACTGAAAGTGATCAATTCTCATTGGATTTCTTAAGCTGAGCAATAAGAGTCAATACTTGAAATTTGCACAATTGACAGTTGACATTTAGTGCTGCATTCTGATGTAAGAAGAACTAGATTATATTCTTAGAATTTAGAGACATTTGTATTTTGGTGAAAAACTAGCAAAGACAGCATTTTATTTCAAAAATCCATGGAGCAAAAACGACTAAAACTTCGTACCCATACTAACCATTATGATTTCTATTACAGATGTTACATCACTTTTATGGCGTACTATAGGCTGATTAATATATTTTCGTTTACGTTTTACGACGTGTTTATATTTTTCACTCACCTAAGTATTCCATGTATGTTTGATCATCAAATAGCTGTTGCTCTTGTTGTTGGTTTGTTTTACAATATGGACACTTTGTCGTTTTTGTTCCACTTGATGATACTAATAATAAACTTGTTACAATCAAACAGCGTTCTTGAACTGTTGCTTGTCCAAATTCAGATGTATCTATTGACGATGGATTATTTGATTTTAATCTTGCTCGTTGTAATTTTTTTGATTCGTGACTGATTGCTTGAAAATTACAGTCGAGTAATTGAATAACATCATCTGTCTGATTAAAACGATTTATTATTTTAACTAAATAAGCTGATTGAAGAATACGATGACTTTTTGGAATTTTTTGCATGGCTAACCATGTTAAGGATGGTAATAACAAACGGATTTGATCATCAGATAATTGAGTAGATAAAGCATAAGGATCGGACGTGTATAAAAGCTCGACAAGCCGTGGATCACAGGAATAATCACCAGAAATGAGTGGAGATGTTGACATTTTGAATATCTAAAATTCAGACAATTGCATTCAGTGAAAAATGTTCTTATAGTGACTTGTGAATGTTCAAAGAAGTGATAAAAAAGTTTTACTATAAATTTAATAAAAAATTGAGCCTAAGTCAGACGGTATACTAAAGTTGGCAATGAGACAACTTCACTACGTCTATTCTTTGATCCATAGCTAGCATGGAGAAAGCACCTTAAGATCCTTTGGACTCCTCAAAATCGTTGATTATAGCTCTAAGCTTGTCTCATCCTGCGAACGAAGATATTTAGCCGTCAATGGATAGATATTGATTCCTTCACGGCACTCCTCCACCGTATATATCATATCGAAAGAACGAAACAAATGTTAATTTTTTTAAATCTCTACCACTTCGTACGGACGGATGCTAGAGTTTTCCGTTTTTTAATTTTAGCGTGTTGTATAAGCCACGTAAACTATGAATAAGAGGCTACTGCATAGTTGTACATGTCTACCAGTTTTACCTTTGAACCTAATGGCCTTTGTTTGCAAGCTTTTAATCTTCAACTCAGAATTTTTGAAGCAGAATTTTTAACGGTGATGCTACACTTCTTCAGGTACCAGCTGACAAAATAACTGAGTAAATAAAAAGTCGGTATCGGTACCGAATTATTGAATGCCATTCTTCTATTCACCTATCCTTAATTATTCACATCATTATCTGATTGGTGACATACGAACCAGTCAACGTTTACTGGTTAGCACTTAAGAGTGAGAAAAAAATAAAAAGCTTCTGTAAATTAAAAAACATAAAATGTTTGTATTGATGAATGATGAAAGACTTTCACAGAAATTCAGTGACATAGACTTTTCATTCATCTGATAGAGTCTAGACCCTCGTATGATTTGAAATTTAAAGGACTTATACTTTTTTTCTAGTATATTACAATCTATGTACTAAAACAGTCTACAGAATTAAACAGAACTAAATTTTGCCGATTTACTTGCAAAGCTAGTACTATTCGGATAGGTTTGATGTTGTAGAGTACTTAGCTGTGTTGCATTTATCCTGTATCTTTGTTAAGCGATAACTGACCTATTCATTCTAGATGATTGACTTATATGTACTTGCTGCCGGTTCGGCATTGACAGGAATATTATTCAATTGTGTTATTGGTTTGTATTTTTCGTCACTTTATATCCTGTCATCTCCATGTGACTTCTTTTAGGAACTACTTCCGAAGGTCTTTCGTCAACTTGGCATTATGCAACCTTGTCGTTCTATTCGGTTGTATTTGTATTATTTTCAGTGCTGACTATTTTTAAACGATTTGTAAGTATTTTGTCGTCAACTTGTTCAGGTTATGGTATAGAATTTCGCATTAAACGATAAAAATTCCGTCATTAGATTCATTGCTTTGTCTATTTAAAGAACGGCGATGACTGAAATTGTATTTGTTGCGAAACTTTTCCAACTAGTTCACATATCGATTCTATTACACACGCAATCTTTTCCATTTTCGATTTCACTTTCGCTTTTTTTTTTGATTTTAGTTCAGTACCGGCAAGAAAATAGTAGAAAAAGCATCGACTGAAAATAAAACTGAAAACGATACAATTTCAGTTGTTTACGGAACAGTTAAAGGAGCATCAAAGGTAAGACTTACTTTTTATTTGTTCTTGTTCTTTACAAATAGAAGAATATCTATTTAGAAATTTGCCGAACTAACTTATGAGCAGCTTATACAGAATGGTCTGTCAGCAAATATTTATGATATGAAAGACATTAGTGATCCAGAAGATTTTCTCAATACCCAGGTAATTGATCTCTTGAAATGTAGTGTTTTACAACTATCAACTAATATATTTGTTCTTCTTGTATCCAGGCAAAGCATTCAAAAACAATGGTGATATTTATTTCAACATACGAAGATGTTACACCACCTTTGTCAGCAAAATGGTTTTATTCTTATGTAAAAGAAGCAGCATATGATTTTCGAGTATCGAAAGATCAATTAAATAAGTTAAAATACTCCATATTTGGATGCGGAAATAGTTTATACGATACAAATTTCAACAAAGTAAATTATGAACAAAATATAGATTTGTATATGCTTCCATTTGTCTCAATTCGTTTCTATAGTTAACGTTTGACATCTAGCATAGTATGTTTCCTATGTTTAGATCGCAATAAATCTTGATGAGTATTTACATGAACTAGGAAGTACAAAGATTTTATCAACTGAGCTTGCTGATGAAAATACGATTCAAAGTCCATATGGAGGTATGATTGTAAAATCTTTGTGTTGATTTATATCAGGTGTGTATTGATACACGTATGTCGAATTTAGGTCTCGAAGGTCATTATTCCAAGTGGATAAATGCCTTGATGACTACTCTACAAAATAAATGTGATTCACCTGCAACGTTAATAGGAACAAAGGATGTGCACTGTAAAAATCCTGAATCATGCGATTGTAAAACGAATGAAGAAAATGCCGAATGTAACAATGATAAAGAAGACGCAGACGGCTCAGTAAGAAAAGAAAGTTTTTTTATTCTATGATATTATATTGTATGGTTTATATGATTAAAGGCTGAACAACAATATGAAAGTGATGATGAAGGTGCTGGCGGCTGCAAAGATTCAAGTGCAGATATTATGGATTTAGAAGATATGGGTCATTATGTTTCTACAGCACCATTAAAAAATGTAGGAAATGGAAATTCTGTTATTGCTGAAATTTTTTTATCAAACATTGGAATTTATTTTTATTTTTTGTGTTTCAGACTGTTTCGGAATCAAATGGAACAAAAGAAATGATAACACCACTAATTCGACAATCATTAGAAAAACAAGGCTATAAATTAATTGGTAGTCATTCGGGAGTTAAAATATGTAGATGGACAAAGGTATAAAATCACTTCTAACATATGTGAGAAAGTAGAAGACTTGTCGAGCCGAGTGAAGAAGCTCTTTTTCTTAATATAAGCAGTCATGACATTGAAGTTTTGTTTAGTCAATGTTACGTGGTCGAGGCGGTTGTTATAAACATACATTTTATGGAATTGAAAGTCATCGTTGTATGGAAACAACGCCAAGTTTGGCATGCGCAAATAAATGTGTGTTCTGTTGGAGGTAGGAAAATCATAAAATTATTTTCTATTTGTTATAATTTAAATTTTTCAATCTAGACATCATACAAATCCTGTTGGAACATCATGGCAATGGAAAACAGATGATGCTGAAACGTTATATAATGGCGCTACTCAAAATCATTATAAAATGATTAAAGAATTTCGAGGTGTACCCGGTGTGTTACCAGAACGATATGCTGAAGGTAAATAATGTCGATTCACTCTATTTGTACATTTTATTTTATATAATTTTTTAGCTATGAAAATTCGTCATTGTGCATTATCGTTGGTTGGTGAACCAATTATGTATCCTCATATAAATGAATTAATATCGAAATTACATAAAAATCAAATAAGTACATTTTTGGTAACAAATGCTCAATTTCCAAAAGAGATCGAGACGTTAGAACCAGTTACACAACTCTACGTTAGTGTTGATGCATCAACAAAAGAAACATTGAAAAAAATTGATCGACCATTGTTTAAAGATTTTTGGGAAAGATATTTGGCTAGTTTAAAAGCATTAAAATCAAAAGTACGTAAATTTTAATAATAAAGTTGTTTTAAAAGTAAGAATTAATAGATGGAAAAAATAACTTTATCTATATGATAGTTTTGTAGTGAATGAGCATCTTTTACAAAATTTAATATATATACGTGTATATATTGACTCATTTATTCATGTTGTATGTGCTCTTTGTTTAAAATACTCATTAACTGCTAAAAAAATGAGAGAAAACAAATGGGAGTGATATTGAAGTATCGTAGAAAATAATTAATAAAACGAAATTTTGTAGATTATTTTTGTTTTAACCTAGCTTCTGTTTGAAATTTCAGGGTCAACGAACTGTTTATCGTTTAACATTAGTAAAAGGTTATAACACTGAACAAATTGAACAATATGCAAATCTTGTCGAATTAGGTGATCCAGATTTCATTGAAGTTAAAGTATGTATTGTTGACAGAAGAATTCAATATGTTTGATTTTATTCATTTGTGTATATTTAGGGAGTCACTTATTGTGGTGAATCAAATGCGAGTACTTTAACATTAGCAAACGTTCCATGGCATGATGAAGTTATTGAATTTGTTAAATTATTATGTGAACGTCTACCACAGTATGATATTGCTTGTGAACATGAACATTCAAATTGTCTCCTATTAGCACATAAAAAAGTATATATTATCTCAAAACTTTGTCTGAGAGAAAATTAAAACATCATTTTCTTTTTTCATTTTCAGTTTCAAATTAATGGTATTTGGCATACATGGATTAATTATGAAAAATTTCATGAACTTATCCAGCGTTATTTGGATTCAAATAAAACGGAATTATTTACATCTCTAGATTATGTCAGTGAAACACCGAAATGGGCCGTTATCGGTTCAGAATCAAGAGGATTTGATCCGAATGATACGAGGTGGCATAGAAAAAGTAAAAAAGATATTTCTGGTTGTTAACAAGCAAAATAAGCTTCGTTCTTCTATCTCATTGTTTCTGTTTTTTTTAAGCAATTGTTATTTTTGCTTTTTCTATTAAACATATTTGTAAACAGATCGTTTTTGTAATAAAAAAAAAACCATTACAAAGTTGAATAAACTTTTTATTTAGATTTCAACTTGCTGACCGTACATTCATCTCGATGAGATGACATTTCTCAAACATAACTAATTGGTGTTTCGCTCTAATGAATAGAGCTCTATGAATCCACGTTCTTTCAGGCAGGAGTCGTATAAGACACACACGGTGAATACAGAGCAGAATTCAAAAATTTTTTCTCTTTGGTCTCATAAAGGTCCGGAATCGGATACGCAAAACGATTTTTGTTTTTGAAAAATATTTACTGCCTTCCGTGTATTTTTCATATTTACTCGTTCTCTTCAGAAAACACTGTCCAACAATGTCTCATCAGCCAAGTATGGAACCACGTGCTCGTATAGAAAAAATGTCAGCCGAAGTTGTTGACTCAAATCCTTACAGTAGATTAATGGCACTTCAACGGATGGGCATTGTGAAAAATTATGAAGTAAACGATGACTGGAATATTCAATGACAATTGTCACTACATTTTATTCTCATTTGTTGTTAGCGTATTCGTGAATATTCTGTTCTAATTGTGGGTGTCGGAGGTGTTGGAAGTGTAGCAGCAGAAATGTTAACAAGATGTGGATGTGGAAAGGTAAGAAGAAAATTGCATTGTAAATGTTATTTTCATGTATCTTATTCTTTGTAATTAGCTGCTGTTGTTCGACTATGATAAAGTTGAATTGGCCAATATGAATCGATTATTTTATCAACCACACCAAGCCGGTTTGAGTAAAGTAGAAGCAGCTGCTGACACATTAAGGTAACACAATTTTGAAAGTTACAGACATTTTACTTTGTGATCTAACGGAAATTTCTTGACCGTTCTCAAAAAAATCCACAAAGATTTTCCATTTTATAATATAACGCAGAGAACTCTGTTCTGCATAGCGTTTGAAAGAAAAGCGGATGATCCGCTTTACGCAATTCGATAGCCAAAATCGAAACACGTGGTTCAATGAAATTTTTTTCAAAATTCTTCATGAAACTTGGTTTTTGAAGGTTTTTTTTGAAAAATGATTTTACCATTTCGAAATGAACAGAACATAGGTTATCGACCACACTGAGTCTCATGAGAGTGTTTGATCTTAAAACAAAATTCAAGAAACAAGTTAAAATCTATTTTATTAGTTAATTGTGTCGAAGAGTAAAAAAAATTGAAGATCATTAAAACATATTTGCTTATTTCGAAAGATTTCTAGTATAGTTTAAAAATATCTTATTAGAAAGTTTGAAATTTGAGAGAACTACTAAACTGACGAGGGAAGGCCACCAACTGCCCCATCGCTTTTGGCTTGAAACCTAGTGGACAATAGGTAATCGACCATGCTAATGCCGAATATGATAGCCGTTTTCCCCCGCAGGCGTTTTCTAGTCGGTCTCTG